CCTAGGTATTTATTCCGTTTTTTGTCATTCAATTGTGTACAAAATTTACTTTAAAGACTTGCAAGGGTTATTGTGGATGAAAGGAATTAGAAAAAAATCCTTCCAAGGTTAAATTGGAAAAAAAAATGCAATAATTTGAAGAACACTTTTTGAAGAACCCAGAAAGAATTGTACAAGAATGTTCATAGAAGCTCTGTTTAAAATAGCCAAAACCTGGAAACAATCCAAATGTCTATGGATATGTGAATAGATAAACAAGTTGACCTATCCCTCAACCAGTGCCTCCAGGTTTTAACAACTATAAATTACATGTTAATATCTTGTCTGGATATTAAAGTCTTCATTCTTTACTATTTTTTCAAAAAGTGTTCTTCAAATTATTGCATGTTTTTTCTTCTAATTGAACCTTGGAAGGATGTTTTTTCAATCCCCTTCATCCAATAACCCTCACAAGTCTTTAAGAGTAAATTTTGTACATGATTGAATCTTTCTCTCCAAAGATAAAGCATCATCTCCACTTGGTCAGGTGTACTGGAGGAGACAGCACTGCTTTTATTGGCTCTCTACCGGATCTCTACCACAACCTCACTTCCAATGTTCCACCTAAGAAACTGAATTTTCTACTGAGTGTCTTATTCCACAATTGGGGTTCTGAAGATGATGGGATCTGCTATGATCAAACCAGTTCATCATGGCTCAGTGCTAGTACTTCGTAGACATGGTCAGAATTAGACGGCGTATGTTTGTTACTTTAACTGAATTTAGTTTGGCTTAATTTTATAATCATATATTGTGCACCAACTATGTGCCAAGCAAGGTACCAATTTCTTTGAGGAGGCAAAGATAAACAGGTCCAGGGCCCTATTATCTCAGATCTTTCATTCTATCCTGGTAGTGATCATAAACCAAAAGCAAAATGTTCCAAGGACACAGAGAGGCTGCCTGGGCCCAGAGGAAAGAGGAATGTTCGGGTAAGAAAAAGAGCAACACTGTAAAGACCAGCTTTAATGTTCTGTATAAAAATATTGATGTAAGGTTAAGGTTTTGTATATTGTTTTGAACAAACCCTGAGGCCTAGGAATTGGCTGAACTTGGTGCTTGTGATGAACTTGCTTCACTGCTCTTCAACTATAAGGTTTAGAAGACCCAGAGCTTGTGATTTTGCTTTGCAACCGTATTTCTCACACTACTTGTTTAGGTGGTAATTCCTTGAGCTAAGAATAGAAACTGCCAATGAAATTTAATGGAGAAATGAATGGTGGGGTAACTATCCATTCAACATTTTATTGTTAATTATAAACTTGCTGCAGAATTTCAGTTCCCAAGGAAGCTTAAATTTTGTCCTAATTAAAAGAGACAAGTGGTGTGTATCAGGAGCAGCTGCTCCAAAGAGAACTTTTGCTTAACAGTCATTTTCAAATTATGCACAGGCAAATGCATTCGGTTTTGTTTCTTTCCATTTCAACCTTGATAGTGGGTTTGAAATGTCTTCATATAGAATGTAAAGGAAAATTGGTTAATATTTCAAAATTTATTGTGCCTATTCACTTTATTTTCTCAATCCTGTGCAAAGCTATGCAAGATAATTCAGCTTTTTTAAAAAAAATTATGCTTTTAAAATATAGGGATAAAAGGAAAACAAAAGGAAAAAAACAGAGAAAATGGAAGAAAGGAAATTGAAAAGGATAGAAAACATGAATGAAAAATTCAGAAAAAACTTACAAAGAAAAGACTATTGGAAATACATTGTGGAGAGGAAAATACAAATATCTTCTCTGATTCTGCACTACACAATACACACTGGACTAACAGTGAACTGTATGCTAATATTTAGGGAAAAGATAATAAATGGTTCGAATTTGGAGATAGATTGCTCCTAGATTGCTCTTGATTTTTAGCATTCTACTGACAGAAAAACCATGAACAAAAAAATTTTTAAGCCTTAGATTCCCCATCTGTAAAACAGGCTTCATAATAATAATCTACCATAGGTTGACATCAGAGAGAGGAAAATAAGAACCACAATGTTGTTCCATATTACAAAATCAGATAAGCAAAAATGTTAAAAATCTAATATTAACAAGGGTTGTTGAGGAAACCAGGGAATAAAATTCTCACACCCAATTGATGGAACAATAAAACAGAAAGAAATTTAATGATAGAACAAGTTAGAAATGCCACAAATTGGACTCAATTATACTTCTCCTAGGGATTTCCCCTAGAGAAGCTTGCATGTGTGCACAGAGATGTACACAAGAATGTTTACAGCTATATTCTTTACAATGGCTAAAAAATGGAAAAATTGAAATATTTTTCCACAGAAAAATTGATCAATCTCAGTGAAAAGGAATTAATCTGAGTAAGTTATATCAATCAGTGACTTTCCTATACAAATGAAGTTCTAAAAATAAAGCAACCAGTTTCAGGTTTCAGAGTATCAATGCAGCATCACAGTGGAACTGGAAGAGGGCTGGACTTTACCCAGAGAGCCTGAACTAGGAGCTGGATACAATAACTAATGTGTACTTGGTAGTACAACAGATGGGTTTCTTTATATTAGGATGAGACATTTAAAAGCCTTAAATGCATGAAAATCAGTGTGTGATATTGAGGGAGAAAAAGTAAGCCTCAAAGGGTGGAACGAACATAATATCTGTCCTTTTTGCCTGTCAAGCATCCCTATCCTGTAATTTGTTTAATTATAATTTTTGTTTCTGTCAATCATGATCCCCCTTAAATCTTCATCCCTGGCCAGTGGTTAGGCATAGAGTCAAACCCAGGTAAATCAGACACCCTCTGTCTCCTGGGAATTTAAATCTCAGATAGAAGTACAAAAGATGGTAAGTGATGCCAGTGTCCCCCAAAAGCCTAACATAAATCTGCTAGCAGACTGATAACATTGAATCTCCTCCTTCATGAAAGAGATAGAAATTGAAAAATATAGGTAGCTGACACTTATTCTGGATCTAGATTTTCAGCCTTTCCCTGTGATGTGGCTGCCAGAAGTCCTCCATGTACTCACTGAAAGGCTGATTCACCATTATGGCATCACGTAGCCTATTGCTTCTGGTCAAGGAGCTCTATTTGCAAAGGGGAAGAGGCAATGGGATCATGATTTTATATAACACATTGATGGTGGTTAATTTCACATTGTATAACATAAATTACAGAATACCTATGAGAGATTTGCCAAGCTAAATGGAGCTGGATTTGAAAATGTATCAGCAACTGATGAAACTTAACCTGTTTACATTTGGGAAAGGACATTATATAAAAAGGGATATTTTGTGTGGGTTTTGTTCTTGTTTGCTTGTTTACTTTTCTTTCCTTCTTTCTTTCAGAAATTAAATATGTGAAATAAGCTGTGCTTTGATGATGGGCAGCCAATAGAGTGGACTTTAGTGGGGAGGGGGTTGTCAGCATTTTTAGCTGCCTAACATTCTGTATCCCTTTCCTGATGAGTCTTAGCAGAAGGCATATGACCTAGGGTATTTGACATAGGGGAGAATAATCGGGTACAGAAAGTATTCACTGTGTCACTAGGAATGCAAAAAAATGGAGCCGTGGAAAAGCTTCTCTGGTGTTTGTCTCAACCACATGTTCTAATATCCAGGGACAGCAAAAGAAACACTTCTTAATTCTGTTATGGATCCTATTGTGAGGCCTTCAACTAATCTTGCCTAGGATTAATATATGTTACTTGCTAAAACTAGGCAGTAACTATATCCGATTTAAAAACAAACAAAAAAAACTTGGCTGAAGAATAGTAATTGAGCAACGTAGGACTCATTTCCCCATAAGTTAAGTCATGCTTTTTATGCCATGCTTGACCACGCAGGAGGCCTTAGGCATAATCTTATAAGCTGGTCCCAGGATTTAAGCTATACAGCGTCCTTGCAGTCCTCCTGGCATAAATGTTGCTGCAGCTTAGTTCCTAACAAAGTTATACAATCTTTATTAGTTCTATATTGATGTTTGTAATCTGTTCCTTGGAACTTTCTTAGGGAAGCTGTTCAAAGGAGCTCTGTGGCTCCTTTAGCACCACAGTCTCTTTGGAGGAGTCAGTGAAGAAGGAAAAGTACCAGGATACAATCAAATGCCCATCGTTTGCCTTAAGAAAAAAATATTTTTTTCCACCCCACACAAATCCCCTGCTAAGATTTGGGCATAGCTTCAGCATGAGGGTAAGAGGCAACTACTGTGCACATTACTGTGTAATAAAAGACAAAAAAAAATTTACATTTGAGTCTGCCGTTTTGATCTTATGCTTCCAAAGAGCTGCATTAAAACAGCATCATCAAAAGTCCCCTGCCTCAAAAAAACCTAAACAAAACCCTGGATCAAAATGGCTGCTTCTCCCCACCCCCTCGGCCCCATGTCCTCATTCATGCCACTGTTGCGGCAGGAATGCTGTGGACGGCATTTCTCTGAAAAGCAACTCCTTACTCTGCCCTCTCCCTTGAGGTGGCCCCCTCACAAGCAGTGTGTTAACCATGCTCCAAGGACAGGAGTGTCAGAGACATTAGCCTTTCTTTAAACACTCCTTGACTGGGTTGTCATCTGCAGATAGAGATGCCTTTGCAGTCTAGTACCCCACAATAGGGATGTAACTACAGCCACTTGTTGAAAACCAGAGATATAGTTGAGTGGGAACTGTTCTCCTATTGTAACTCCTTCCTCCCTCCTCACAGATCGGCCTCACATATGAGCCTGGTGGGGTGGGGTTTTGGAAGAGTGACTCAGTCCTAATCTACCACCACCATCACCACCACCCCATCTCTCCTCTTCCCACAGCCCTCTTCCTTTAACCCTGTCTACCTCCAGGGTCTCTGCAATATATAATCACAACCCAGCTTCTCCCCTAGTATCTACCACAAGTCCCCAGAAGAATAGGCAAGTCTCAGACACCACCATTTCCCTCAAAGTCTTGCAGCCTCCATAAGCCCAAGTGTGTCGTGCCAGAGTGTTTCTGTTGGTTCCACTTACCTCACTATGCAGAAGGCAAAGGCAGATTTTGCTGGTTCTGGGCTGGGAGAGAGCACTGAGAGGCAGAAGGCATCTTCTACTCCAGGTTCTAGCTCATTTGCTCTTCAAAGATTCAAACTATTAAACATATTTTGTAACCATAGAATTAATTTTTACCCTCAAATGCACATGATAAATTTATGGCATAATTTTGATCTTATTTCACATAAATAAATATCATGATCTTACTATGAAGAGAATATTGGATCCTTCTTGTCCTGTTATATGACAATTCATCCTACATTAGATGACCATAAATCGTGCCATGCTTAAATTCTAATGACTTGATTTCCCCTAACTATGGGGGCAGGAGAGAAGTTTAATTTGTTCTACTGCACGTGTTATAACAGTCTGACTAGGCATGACTTTTTGTCAAACCATTATAAATTTCGAATTTGTAACATAGTATAAGATCTTACTCAAAAGCTTTCATGTGACCTTCGTGTTCTCAATTTTATAATGATTATCATTTAAGAAATCACCTGAATGTTTTGCCATGTCATCTTCAGTATTTTCATATTTTCCACATCAGGTGTTTTCTGCCATTTAATATGACATCCTAAATGTCCTGTCTTTCAATATTTAAATAAATCTATACAACTTGAATATGGCAATTTCAGTATTGTAATCTTTTGCCCATCAATGATTGTCAGCCCTGAATGACCAGGAAACTGGCCAGCAGCTGCTGACAATCCCATCATTGTATTTTTCACAAGGCAATAGCATTGCCTTGATCAAGAGATGTATAGTCAAGACAATATGGAAAAAAATAGAAAAACTAAAATGTCTAGAGCAGATTCAGCGCATTTTTCTGGCAGTAGAGAGCTGTTACTATAAATGTTCCTCAGCCATTTGCAAAGCTCCCCTATAACCTGACTACATTATATAGTTCTGCATATAAAAAATAGTGGTTTAATGGTGTTCTAAGATTTCAACACAGAGAAAGTCTTCATAATGAGAGTTTTCAGATAGCAATATAAGTATAAAACCCTCACCACCTTTGATTATAGTTGTGAAATATATAGTTGTAAATCCAATGATGCCAATTAGAAGCACACTTGTATAAGTAAAAGCTCAGTCCTGAATAAAGCAGGAGCAACTTCCTAAGGCTTAGGTTTGGGATTTGCAGACTAGCTGGAAAAGTGTATGAGTCTTCATAGACTTCTATTTGATTGCTTCAAAATAAACTAAACCTATAAACCACACACACACAAATGGTGGACACAAAACCCTTTTACTTGTCCCCTGAAATACCATTTTATATACATGCAATATTCAGTTTGTTTACCAAGTAGAAAATCCCTGCCAGTTGTTTGTAGACTACAACTAAACTAAAATATGTTTTGTTAGATAACAGATGTTTCAAAAATAAACTTTAATTTTAAAATGATTTTAGATTTACAGAAAATTCAAGAAGATCATACAAGGAGTTCCCATATGGGTATTATTTCCCATATTATTAATATGTTCTATTGATATGATACATTTGTTGCAAGTAATGAACAAATGTTGTTATATTATTATTAACTAAAGTATCATTTCTTCAAATTCCCTTAGTTTTCACTAAATGTCCTTTTTCTGTTCCAGGGTCCTTTCTAGATGCTATATTTAGTGTTCATGTCTCTTTAGGCCCTCTTGGCTGTGACTTTCTCAAACTCTCCTTGTTTCTGATGTCCTCTACAGTTTTGAGGAGTACTTATCAGGTCCATTATAGGACTGTTCATTAACTGTTTGATATTTTTCTCAGGAGCAGGCTATTGGGGAGAAGTGTCACAGAGATAAAGTGCCATTCTCATCATGACATGACAAGTCCATAGATGTTGACCTTCGTCATCTGGCTGAAGTAGCTTTTGTCAGGTTTCTACTACTACAAAGTTATTCTTTGTCCCCATCCCTTTCGACACTGTACTTTGGAGAGAAGTCACTGTACATGATCCACACTTCAGTGTTGGTGTAATGTTCCCTATCCTTTACAGCAAAGTACCTACATAAATTATTTAAAATTATGCACGGAAGATACTTAACTGTTCAATTCCTATGTACAAGAATAGCAGTATTGAATGGTTAACCAGTACTCTCGTGAGACAGCTTTATCAACTAGAGTGCAGGGCTTATATATACTCCCTTTGCTTTCAGCTTATAGCTGCCTCTCATTTCCAAAGTTACTTAGAACTGTACTTTTTTCCTCTCTCAAATTAAGCGAAGTTATTTCAAACATTTATAATCCATTTAGATGCTCTTATCACTTTCTCTTGTTCTCATTCTGTGTTGGCATCCCCTGAATCTCCTAAATGATTTTTCTTCAATTTACATACATTAAGTTTCATTTCTTATTCTGTAAAGTTATATGGGTCTCAACAAATGCATAATGTTCACAATTTGATTATCATATAAAATAATTTTCCATCCTCACATCTCTTGCACATTCCTTCCCTGTCCCTTTGAATCCATGGAAACTACCCATCTTTTAAACATTTTATTTGTGTAGCTTTGCCTTTCCAGCATGTCAAAAGTTGGAATCATACAGCATGTAGCCTTTTCAGAATTACTTCTTTCACTTGGCAATACACGTTTAAGTTTTCCTCATGTGTATGTGTGGCTCAGTAATTCATTTTCTTTCAGCATGGAATAATTTTCCATTGTATAAGCATATTAATTTATTCATCCATTCACCTGTTGTTTTGCCTAGTTTTATGGAGATTATAAATAAAAATGTTGTTAAATATTCATACAAAAGTTTTGTATGGATGTTTTCTACTCATTCGGGCAAATACCTAGGAGCATTAGTGCCAGATCATATGGTAAGACTATGTTCATCTTTGTAAGAAGCTGCTAAAATGTCTTCCAAAATAACTAAACCAGGGGCTGGGGATATAGCTCAGTTGGTAGAGTGCTTGCCTCCCTCCCAAAGTAGCTAACCCATTTCACTTTCTTACCAGCAATGAATGAGAGTTCCAATAATATTTTGTTTAAACTTTAAGAACAAGCAAGCCTTCAATTACACAGAATCTCATTGTTACAGAACAGCTCTGTCATGGGGTTTCAGTTTCTATGGCTCATGCCTTCTTGGAAATGAACAATGAACTTCAGCAACTGTTTAGAAGTGGCATTTATGTTTAGGAGAATATAAAAGTGTAATCCTTTTCCTCTCTTTAATAGCTAGCACACTCTGGCCATAGCAGTATCTATTGACCATATTCTTACTGTAAAAGGCTACAGGAAAAATTAAGCAAATAAATCTATAATTTATGTCATGCACACCAGTATTTTATCAAAGAGGAAGAGAGTATATCATTAATATCACCATTTTATTTTTTATTTATTTTGTGGGTGAATCATAATTATATAAAACAGTGGAATTTGTTCTTACATATTTGTACATGCACACAACATAACAATGTAATTTGGTCACTTTCATTGCCCAATAATTCTCATTTCCCTTTGCTCCTCTCTCTCCATGGTCTCCTTCCTCGCCCTTCTATTTTCATGAGATCCCCTCACAACATCAACATTTTAAATATTCAGGAATTAAAAGGACTAGGTGATTGTCTGCAATTACTAAATACAAAATAAGTAGAAAAAGATGTTATAGCAATGTCTTCCAAAATAACTAAACCAGGAGCTGGGGATATCTCTTTACCTGAGATTTGGGGTCAAAAAATCTCCTTTCATTACTTGTGTTAAGTGTCAGAGTTCAGTGATTCCCTTTCTTGCTGAAAAAAAAAAAAATTAAAGTCAGCTGCTTCCATCTAGCAACTTACAGAATGCACAGATATTTTGTATCTACAAATACACAGAATATTTCTAGTATACTCATGGTCATCCTGTTTAGTGCATCATTCCCAGAAATATGTGGGTTCACAATTCCTATCAAGTTAAAACTTAGGTCTTTCAGAATGGTAATAAAAGAAACCTCAACCTGTCAAAAAAATTTTTTTCTTACTTGTATGTCAGCTTCTCTTTTCTAAAGACAGCTTTAATTATCTGATGACTACAGTTTCCAGAATTACTCTGAATAGTTTTCTGAAATAGTGCTATGAGGGTGCAAATAGTAGGCACTGAGAAAAGTTGTATTCTAAAAAAATCAACACATTTGGTGACCTTTAGGAATACACTACTTGCAATGAATAAATTTCCAAATTTATAAGATCCTCCCATTTAACATTTCATCTCATAACTCAAACAAAATACATTTATGTTTAAAATGTTGTGCCCCTCAACAAATGAATGGATAAAGAAAATGTGGCATATAGACACAATGGAGTATTACTCAGCCATAAAGAATGACTTTAAGGCATTTGCGGGTAAATAAGTAGAACTGGAAACTATCATGCTCAGTGAAATAAGCCAGTCCCAAAAGTCAAAGGTCAAATGTTTTCTCTGATATGCAGAAGCTAATCCAAAATAAGCCAGGTGGATGGATTAAAACAAAAGAACTAAAGAAAGATCAATGGAATAAACAAAGGAAAAGGAAGGAAGGAAGGTGGAATGGGATAGGAAAGTCAGTGGAATTAATCTGACCTAACTTTCTTATCACATATATGAATATACCTCAGTGAATCTCACCATCATGTACATCCACAAGACACTAATTAAGAGAAAACTATAAGTAAATAGCAAAAATAGCAGTAGAGAATAGAGAAGGATATAGGGGGTGGGATGAAGGGAGGGAAAGGAGAATATTAGGGACTGAATTAGAACAAATTTTATTCCATGATTTTATAATTATGTCTATTGTCATTTAAAACTAAAAAGAACCAACAAAAAAAGAAATTTAACAAAATACTATGTACAAAAGAAATGCATGAAAATGTGAAGATAGATAAGAGTTTTAATTAAGCCAGCTCTCCTATTCTTAAATTCACCAAGACACAAAACTATCCTGTCTGGGCTAGCCCATGTGCTAAAAATCAAGGTCATAAATGTGTCTTCCTTTAGAATGAAACAAATTTACTTTTGCAAAGTTCAAGTTTCTCTGTAATGACCAAGAAGAGGGCATAACTAAGCTCAACCAGGGAAACCAAAGAGTTCATTTCCTAGGCTGCTGGGAACCTGTTAGAAGTAACAATATCTTATTACCTCAAATGCCAACAAGGTAGTGACACAACTGATGAGGAGATGCGATGCTGAGCTTGACATCACCTAGAAGCAGAGGCAGGGCGATGGATACCTAAAGTGGAAACCAAAGCCCAGTTTGGCTTAATGTGACTCAGGAAGTATTAGAGGGATACTAAAAACAGTGGCACCCAATACTTTTTGATTTCCCACACGTAAAAATACCAACAGAGATAACACATGTTAAAGTACTTGTTCATGGCTTTAAAAGAAAAAGCAGCTAAAAATCTTTATTTCTGTAACACCTCTTTCTCTGATGAGTTCAGAACAATTAACGCCCACACCTAATTAGTCCTCACAGTTTGAGGTTTCTCATAATTGAGATTTTTCCAGGGATGCTATTCATGATTCATATAAGAGATTCTAAAGGCATTCTTTTTTATCTAATCAGGTCGCTTCAGCCCACAGTCTGGTGGGGGAATGTGGTCTGCCTAGAGATGTCATAAGTGTTCTCAGAGAGAGCACAACCCCAGGAGTTTGATGGGAAACCTTCTGAGCCAAGATCCTCATCTGGCAGTAGCCACTGAGTTCTGTAATGAGAGGCATTTATAGACAGAGGTCCGCCTTACTGGGGAACACTGGAGTCAGTTATAATGTCTTGAACAGAAAGAGAACCATCACAAATTTTATGGCAAACTTAGCCTGAGAGGGTCTCCTAGAGAAGGCTGTGCCAGCTCTGGCAATCTCTCCATGTTGCCAGCCTTCTGCCGCAGTCTGGCTGGGCACAAATCATGAGCCACTGAAGCAGGAACAAACTTTATTTCTGAACTCCACCAGCATACTCCGCACACGCTCCCCAGGAATTCTCCCGAACGCCACATGGCTCCTCCAGGAACCAGCAGCCGGAAATATCCCTCCTCCGGTACTTTCCCAACCAATGGGAACTCTCCGGGAATCCCCGCGAGATCTCTACTGGAACGCAACAGGAACTCCGCGAGAACTCGCTGGCGTCACCTCTCAACCACTACTTCTGGCAAAAGTGCCATGTGTCATCCCTGTTGTGGCCCTCAACAGCCTTCAGAGCAGATCAGACCACCACACATTACTCCCTGAACCTGACTCAGAGAAGCTGGGCCAAGACGGACATTAGTGCACAGAAGAAAGGCATGGGATGACAGGTGTCCAGCCTACAGTGCCCGTGGGGTTGTTAGTCTCTTTCAGCTATCTCATTTCTTCTCAGGTAGTTAGAAGCCTTTTAGTACAACTGTTAAGCCATGAAGATTGTTCCTTACTAGTAAGAGAAGGGCCTGCATGCATGATGGGTACTCCATCGTGTACATCGTGCAGTGTAGGGCCCAGGGAAGTTGCTGGCTCCTAGAGCCCATTGCTCACTCAGGATATGACCAATGTACAGTTAGCTGTCCTTTGGTATCCTTAGTATATTGGTTCCAGGACCCTCCACAAACACCAAAATCCACAAGTGCTCAAGGTTTCTCCTACAAAATAGTATAATGTTTGCATGTCACCTAACATACATCCTTCTGCATACTTTAAACTGTCTCTAGATTACTTATAATATCTAATACAAAGTTAACAATTGTTTTACTAGATTGTTTAGGGAATAATGACAAGGAAAAAGTTCATATATGTTCAGTTAAAATGTGATTTTTTTTTCTTTGAATATTTTTAATCTGTGGTGGATATGAAACCTGAAGACATGGACATGACAGTATTAGTTTCAAATGCCTGTTGTGACAAACTTCGTGGCTTATAGCAATATCTGTTTATTCTCTTCTACTTTGGGTTCTAGAGGCTGGGAATCCAAAATCAATTTTACTGAGCTGAAATTAAGGTGCTAGGGGGACGGGCACACTCCCTCCAGAGGCTCTAGAAAAGAATTTATGCCTTTGCTTTTTCCAGCTTCTAGAACTACACTCATTACATTCCTTGGCTTATGCCCCTTCATCTATCTTCAAAACCAACAGACTAGCATCTTCAGTCTTCACATTGTCTCCTTCTATAGGCAAATCTCTCTTTACCTTTTGTTCTTTTCAACTGGGGATTGAACCCAGAGGTGCTTAACCACTGAGATACATCCCCAGCCCTTTTGTTTTTTAATTTTAGGATTAGGCCCTCACTAAGTCGCTAAGGCTGGCCTTGCACTTATAATACTCCTGCTCAAACTCCCAAATCACTGGGATCACCGGAATGCACCACTATGCCAAGCAATTGCCTTCTTCTTGTAAGAATAATTACAATTACATTTAGAGCCCACCTGGATAATCCAAGTTAATATTCCCTGCTAGGAGCCACAGCAAAAGTATTATGATATATGGCACCTTTGTTTTAGGTGACTGCCAGCTAGCCATTGAGATGATATGATTATGTTAAGATTTACATTCATATGGAAATTGGACTCCTGCTGTTCACCTAGCCTGCTACGGGACTCATGTTACGGGACTCATGTTACGGGACTCCCGGAGAGTTCCCATTGGTTGGGGAAGGATAGTAGGAGGGAATTTCCGGGGAGGTCGGGCCCCCCGGTTCCGGTAGATGACACACGTGTGTGTGAACCGGCGTGCTAGCAGGGCACACATGGGTCATTGGCAGCCTTTTTAAAATAAAACTTTGTTTCTGCTCGAGCGGCTTGTGATTCTGTGCCCAGCCGGGTTGCGGCAATTCCCCATCTCAAGATCCTTAACAATCACATCTGGACAATCTCTTGCCCTATTCAGTTAATATACAGGTTCCAGGAGTTGGGATCTAGATATCTCTCGGAGCCATTATTCGGCCCCCAGCCTTTACTACATTAGCAAAATGAAAGTAGGAGTGAGGGGACAGGAAAGGAAAGAAGAAAGCGCAACAGGATAGGAAGATAGTCAGACTAAGACTGAGTCCATATGGCTGTAAAAAGCAAAGAATGCCATGTATCTGACTCTATGCTACTGATTCTTCTCACCCACATGATTTTTCTAGACAGAATGATGCTCACTAATGAGGCTTAAATCCATTTTCTTGTCTAAATTGCATGTATCATTTTTCCTAATTATAATACCAATACTGTTCATAGAAGAAAATTTGGGAACTATACTTACCATACTGCTACTGTTTATGATTTGATATTGCTGGGTGCGGTGGCATATGCCTATAATCCCAGTGGCTCAGGAAACTGGGGCAAGAGGATCACAAGTTTAAAACCAGCCTCAGCAACTTAATGAGACACTAAGTAACTAAGTAAGACCCTGTCTCTAAATAAATTTTTTTTAAAAAATGGCTGGGGATGTGGCTCAGTAGTTAAGTTCCCCTGGGTTCAATCCCTGGCACCAAATAATAATAATAATTATTATTGTTATTATTATTATTATTTGATCTATTCACAAACTCCCTGAGCCCATCTTTCTTGAATCAAGTCTTTTGAACATTTTGGGTTTAGCCCTGTCAAAATACCTTACTCAAAATGTCAAATAGTCTTCACATTTGTGTTGTATTGATGAAAAGACCAAGATATGAAAAAGTTTCATCTAGCATCATTCATTAGAACCAAGAGTTAACAACCTCTCTCTTCTCATTGTTGTCTTCTAGTCATCATAAAAGACTTCTTGGTATTCCATATCCAATTAAACACTTCCAAATTCCTAGTCAAGATTATAGCGATCCATTTGTTACCCATATTGATGGCACATCAATGTTCTGACCATTTTTTCCCAAGTCATAAATCAACACCTGCCTTTTCTGAGTCAGAAGCTATATTGCTATTATAAATCACAATGGAATACAAAAGTGACCAATTTTTTAGCCTGTCAAGTCTCTGGAGAAGAGTAGGATAAGAATAAGTCTAATTCTATTATTTTGTTGTGGTTGAGCATACTCTTAATAGTTTAGAAAAAAGCTAGCAGGTAATTTCCCTCAACTGTTGGTCAATTTGAATCTCACCTACAAATAAGAAAAATCAGCTGTAGTGATTAGGCAATGAATCAATAACCACAGTACTGCTACCCTTCAAGGTGGATTCCCTTCTTTACTCAGCATTATTTAAAAAAAAAAAAAAAGACTCACAATGGACTGGGAGAGTGTTTAGCTTGAAACTGAAGCCAATCATTTGATCTGAAGAGATCAATACATTCTCCCTTCATCCCACATTAACTCATTATTCTTCTTATAGAAAAAACTAAAGATCTCAAAAGTGCAGAGGGCCCAGATACAACACAGAGAGTGCAGTACCTTCAAGATCTTCAGCACTGCTGGGTAAACACCAAACAAGCCCTTACCTGGTGACTCTTCACTTTCCAGCCTGTCCTTCCCATATTCTTGTCCACAGTCTTTCTTCAGATAGATTTCAGTACAGTTGAACCCTCTTTATCTCAATTCTACCCTATTTCTTTGAGTATATCTTTGATTCCATTGTTAGGGATTGGATATCCTAAACTGGAGTAAGGGATGGGCTCCTAAGCAACAGCCAGCTGTAATGAGCATGTAAAAGATTCTGGACTCAATCAGACATATAATGCATGAACTCAGATTTCCAGAATCAATCCCTTCTGTAATTGGTGAAATGTAATTTGGCAGCATTTTCTCTGAAGTAGAAAGTAGTCTTGAGTGAAAGCGGAAAAAATACTTTCTGCTAGCACCAACCCATTTCCCTTGAGTATTTTTGTGTCACAAAAAATGTCTAAATGGCCCAAGAGTCTGTGGCACCAGCCAATGCAGAGACCAGTTATCTAACAGAAGTCAGAAAGTTGACCAAACTTTAAAACAAAATAATGTGCAGCATAATGCACTTATTGGGAAGAAGAAAGAAATCTTAAATTCTATAATGCACTTCCAAATAGCTTGCTTGATTTACTTTCAAAGGTAACAGAAGAAAGGACAAGATGCATAAACAGGTGGGAAAAAATAGCTTCTACCATGAATAAGATTCACCAGATGCTTTAATGTTAGCTCTATCAATAAAATCACAAGCCTCAGTTTAAAAACTGAGAAACAAAAGAAAATTTCACAGAAGTAAAAAATTTTCTGAACAATCCTTGTTAGTTTATAACATTAAGAAGTATAACATTATTATTACCCCTACAAAAATATTTAAGAACTATTAAATAGTATTGCCTTGAAGAGAGCTTTGAAGCC